CTGCCAATGCAGGGAACACGGGTTCGAGCCCTGGTCTGGGAGGATCCCACATGTTGTGGAGCAACTAAGCCCATGCACCACAACTGCTGAGTCCACGCTCTAGAGCCCGTGAGCCACAACTACTGAAGTCCGCATGCCTAGAGCCTGTGCTCCGCAACAAGAGAAGCCACCGCAGTGAGAAGCCCACGCACCGCAAGGGAGAGTAATGCCTGCTCGCCACAACTGGAGAAAGCCCGTGTGCAGCAACAAAGACCCAATGCAGCCAAAAATAAATAAATAAATAAATTTTAAAAATAAATAAGTAAAAAGCCCTGTTAATCTTCTACCTGCTACTACTTCATTGGGTAGAGTCCTTTTTTTCATGCTACACAGTTAAAAGTTAGGGTATTAATCAGGGTTCTCCAGAAAAACAAACAACAGAATAGATATCTATATATCTATCTATATTTATCTCTCTCTCTCTCTCTCTCTCTCTCTCTCTCTCTCTCTCTCTGTGTGTGTGTGTATCTATGTGTGTATATATAAAGGAATTGGCTCATGCAATTATGGAGACTGTCAAGTCCCAAGATCTGCAGGATAGACTGACAAGCTGGAGACCCAGGAGAGCCGATTGTCTAGTTCCAATCCTAGTCAGAAGGCTTGAGAACCAGGAGAGCTGGTGGTGTAGTTCCAGCTTGAAGGCTGGCAGGCTCCAGATCCAGGAAGAGCCAATGTTTCAGTTCAAGTACAAAGGCAGAAAAAATTATCTTAATCAGGGGAGGTCATGCTTTTACTTCTTTTCTTTTCTTTTTTTTTTTACGCGGGCTTCTCACTGTTGTGGCCCCTCCCGTTGCGGAGCACAGGCCCAGCGGCCATGGCTCACAGGCCCAGCCGCTCCACGGCATGTGGGATCCTCCCGGACCAGGGCACGAACCCGTGTCCCCTGCATCAGCAGGCGGACTCTCAACCACTGCGCCACCAGGGAAGCCCTCTTTTCTTTTTTTAATATCTTTATGGGAGTATAATTGCTTTACAATGTTGTGTTAGTTTCTGCTGTAGAACAAAGTGAATCAGCTTTATGTACACGTATATCCCCATATCCCCTTGCTCATGAGCCTCCCTCCCACCCTCCCTTTCCCAGCCCTCTAGGTCATCACAAAGTATCGAGCTGATCTCCCTGTGCTATGCAGCTGCTTCCTACTAGCTATCTACTTTACATTTGGTAGTGTATATATGTCCATGCCACTCTCTCACTTCATCCCAGCTTCCCATTCCCCCTCTGTGTCCTCAAGTTCATTCTCTATGTCTGTATCTTTATTCCTGCCCTGCCACTAGGTTCATCAGTACCGTTTTTTAGGCTCTATATATGTGTGTTGGCATCCGGTGTTTGTTTTTCTCTTTCTGACTTACTTCACTCTGTATGACAGACTCTAGGTCCATCCACCTCATTAGAAATAACTCAATTTCGTTCCTTTCTGTGGCTGAGTAATATTCCATGGTATATATGTGCCACATCTTCTTTATCCATTCATCTGTCAATGGACATTTAGGTTGCTTCCATCTCCTGGCTATTGTAAATAGTGCTGCAATGAACATTGGGGTACATGACTCTTTGAATTATGGTTTTCTCAGGGTATATGCTCAGTAGTGGGATTGCTGGGTCACATGGTACTTCTATTTTTAGTTTTTTAAGGAACCGCCATACTGTTCTCCGTAGTGGCTGTATCAATTTAGATTCCCACCAACAGTGCAGGAGGGTTCCCTTTTGTCCACACCTCTCCAGCATTTATTGTTTGTAGATTTTTTGATGGTGGCCATTCTGACCGGTGTGAGGCGATACCTCATTGTAGTTTTGATTTGCATTTCTCTAATGATCAGTGATGTTGAGCATCTTTTCATGTGTTTTTTGGCAATCTGTATATCTTCTTTGGAGAAGTGTCTATTTAGGTCTTCTGCCAATTTTTGGATTGGGTTGTTTGTTTGTTTTTTGGTATTAAGCTGCATGAGCTGCTTGTATATTCTGGAGATTAATCCTTTGTCAGTTGCTTTGTTTGCAAATACTTTCTCCCATTCTGAGGGTTGTCTTTTCATCTTACTTATGGTTTCCTTTGCTGTTCAAAAGCTTTTACGTTTCATTAGGTCCCATTTGTTTATTTTTGATTTTATTTCCATTACTCTAGGAGGTGGGTCAAAAAGGATCTTGCTGTGATTTATGTCATAGAGTCTTCTGCCTATGTTTTCCTCTAAGAGTTTTATAGTATCTGGCCTTACAGTTAGGTCTTTGATCCATTTTGAGTTTATTTTTGTGCATGGTGTTAGGGAGTGTTCTAATTTCATTCTTTTACATGTAGCTGTCCAGTTTTCCCAGCACCACTTATTGAAGAGACTGTCTTTTCTCCATTGTATATTCTTGCCTCCTTTGTCAAAGATAAGGTGACCATATGTGCGTGAGTTTATCTCCGGGCTTTCTATCCTCTTCCATTGATCTATATTTCTGTTTTTGTGCCAGTACCATACTGTCTTGATTACTGTAGCTTTGTAGTATAGTCTGAAGTCTGGGAGCCTGATTCCTGCAGGTCCATTTTCCTTTCTCAAGATTGCTTTGGCTATTCATGGTCTTTTGTGTTTCCATAAAAATTGTAAAATTTTTTGTTCTAGTTCTGTGAAAAATGCCATTGGTAATTTGACAGGGATTGCATTGAATCTGTAGATTGCTTTGGGTAGTACAGTCATTTTCACAATATTGATTCTTCCAATCCAAGAACATGGTATATATTTCCATCTGTTTATATCATCTTTGACTTCTTTCATCAGTGTCTTATACTTTTCTGCATACAGGTCTTTTACCTCCTTAGGTAGGTTTATTCCTAGGTATTTTATTCTTTTTGTTGCAATAGTAAACGGGAGTGTTTCCTTAATTTCTCTTTCTGATCTTTTGTTGTTAGTGTATAGGAATGCAAGGGATTTCTGTGCATTAATTTTGTATCCTGCTACTTTACCAAATTCATTGACTAGCTCTAGTAGTTTTCTGGTAGCATCCTTAGGATTCTCTGTGTATACTATCATGTCATCTGCAAACAGTGACAGTTTTACTTCTTCTTTTCTGATTTGGATTCCTTTTATTTCTTTTTCTTCTCTGCTGCTGTGGCTAAAACTTCCAAAACAATGTTGAATAATAGTGGTGAGAGTGGACATCCTTGTCTTATTCCTCATCTTAGAGGAAATGCTTTCAGTTTTCACCATTGAGAATGATGTTTGCTGTGGGTTTGTCATATATGGCCTTTATTATGTTGAGGTAGGTTCCCTCTATGCCCACTTTCTGGAGAGTTTCTATCATAAATGGGTGTTGAATTTTGTCAAAAGCTTTTTCTGCATCTATTGAGATGATCATATGGTTTTTATCCTTCAATTTGTTGATGTGGTGTATCACACTGATTGATTTGTGGATATTGAAAAATCCTTGCATCCCTGGGATAAATCCCACTTGATCATGGTATATGAACCTTTTAATGTATTGTTGGATTCAAATTGCTAGTATTTTGTTGAGGATTTTTGCATCTATGTTCATCAGTGATATTGGCCTGTAGTTTTCTTTTTTTGTGACATCTTTGTCTTGTTTTTGTATCAGGGTGATGGTGGCCTCATAGAATGAGTTTGGGAGTGTTCCTTCCTCTGCTATATTTTGGAAGAATTTGAGAAGGATAGGTGTTAGCACTTCTCTAAATGTTTGATAGAATTTGCCTGTGAAGCCATCTGGCCCTGGGCTTTTGTTTGTTGGAAGATTTTAAATCACAGTTTCAATTTCAGTGCTTGTCATTGGTCTGTTCATGTTTCTGTTTCTTCCTGGTTCAGTCTTGGAAGGCTGTGCTTTTCTAAGAATTTGTCCATTTCTTCCAGGTTGTCCATTTTATTGGCATATAGCTGCTTGTAGTAATCTCTCATGATACTTTGTATTTCTGCAGTGTCAGTTGTTACTTCTTCTTTCATGCTTTTAGTTCTATTCCAGCCATATCTGATTGGATGAGTGCCACCCACATTATGGAGGGAAATCTGCTTTATTCAGTCTACCCATTCAAATGTTAATCTCAACCAAAAACACCTACACAGAAACATCCAGAATAATGTTTGACCAAATATCTGGGCACCCTGTGGCCCAATCAAGTTGACACATAAAATTAACCATCATAGTATGTAAACATTTAAAAGTTCAGGACTACCAAACTAGTTAATTTGTACCTAAATATGAATTCTGACCAATATTACTCACAAATTCACATTTTGGGCTTTGAGATATACCGAAAAACTCCAAGGGAGTGAGTAAAGCCTTTCAAAGATTCAAAAATGTGTTCAAAGAGAACAACCACTAAAATCTGGAAGACAGTATGGCATTATGGGAAGTAAGAAACTTATGGTTGCCATGTTTCTTTAAAAGAGCTTTTTAACAGAAAAATTATTAAAGCTTTTATTTTTCCTGGTTCTTAGAGTAAGAATTTACTTTTTCCAGTGTTGAAAGATTTTATAAATTCAAAATAAGAATTTCTCATGATCTATAATCCTTCTGTCCCACTCTCTTAACATTACCCCTGGAGCCAGCACACTGGTGTCAAGAGCTGGCTGGTTCTCAGTGCAGGCAGTATCACTTGTGGGGAAGACTTTGGACTCAAATAGGGTTCCCAGGTGTGTGACCTGGGGCAAATTACTTCATACCTCTAAGCAGCAACTTTCTTATCTGAAAATGGGGAGTTTAATATCTGTAAAATCAGCGTGAGTGTTCCATAATTAAACATTCTGAAATTTAGACATCTGAATAATCTTCATTTTTGCAGTTTTATAAATAACACTGCCACCTTGGTTCTTAAATCTCTGTCTTCATTTTGGATCATTTTCTTAAATTCAGCTTCTTAGAGGTGAAATTAATGAGTCAAGGGATAGAACCTTCTAAAAAGGTGGTACCAAGATTACACTAGCAGTGGGAGAAAGAGAGAGGTGCTTTTCTCATTTTTAAACTTTATGTTTCCTAGAAGCATCAGATGGTGAAGGAGGAGGAGACACAGCAATGACTCAGCAGGAGAGAGCTCCAGTTCCTGCCCTGTCAAAGAAAACCGAACAGGTGACAGTCACTGTGGCAGAGTCACAGCTGTTGGCTCTGAAATCAGCCTCTTCTACCCCTCTACAGCATTCCGTGTGCTCCTATACCAGTTATTGGTGGGATTTGAGGGAAGCTTTTACCTTCTCTGCCTTTGAAAGAGCCATGCTTCATTAATTACAAACCAGCAAGGTCTATTTTTCCCCCTAATATATTTTTTACAATATAAATGTATTTTACAATAATGATATCTTAGATTCTTGTATTACATTTTTACCAAAGACCCAGTTTTATTCTTTTGGGTATAGTTCGTAGGAGAAGACAAATAGCATAGATATGCAAGATTACCCCCGCACCAATGCATTATTACAGTACCAAGACATGCTGTGAGCAGGCTCCCAGGGCTTCATGTCTATCTAGCATCCTGTCTGTTGTGTGAATTCTTATTGGGGATTTGCTACCTTTGTATTACCACAAGTGGCCATTTGATAAACTTTGCTCCCTGGACTTAAGACCTTTTATTGCCTTTTTAATCTTCTTGCTGGCCACTCACATCCATTTGCACCTTTCTTACATTATTGTCCCTGAGACCTAATTGGTAACCATGTGTGATTTTTTAAAGGACTATCTAACCATCAGTCCAAAGTTACCATCTTCTTCACAGTAACATATGTGGCCTTATTCTTATTGTAGGTGGCCCTAAACACATTCCACTAGAGTTTTGTGACCCAGAGTTTGTGACCAGGCTCAGGATAATTGTGGGAAGCAGTTTAGCATTTTGGTTACTTACAAGCTGTGATGCCTTGGGCAAGTTAAACTCTCTGTGCCTCAGTCTCCCGTATTGGTGAAGTGGTGATAATACGTGTATTTTCTTCACAGGGTTACGGTGAGGATTAAATGATTAACACTTGTTAAGCTCTTTGAACTGTGGTTGGCAAAGAGTAAGCACTGAGGTGATAATTCTTATAGTAAAATATACTTCAAGTCTTTTATTTTATTCATTATTTTTTCTTTGTGAGGTGGGGAATGCAGAAAGATATACGTATTTAATGTATAATCAGTCTTGGTTTTCTCTCTAGCCATTAAATATTTAACTCCAAGGCCCTGTATCAATTTTAGTTTGAACCATTCTTTCTAAGATCTACAGGTTAACATCTGTAGCTTTTCAATTTATTTCACAAAGATGGGGTTTGATTTTACCTCACTTAACTCCACTGACCATACCATAGTCATGCCTTCTTTGACCTCTGCCTCTAATCAGTGCCTGCTTGCAGAACTTGTTTCCAAATATTCTTTTTTTTGTAGAAATTAGAACTTTATTATATTATAAACATTTCCAGAATATAAACTGATTTTGTATCAAGACTCCTTGAAACATTTAAAACTGTATGTAACTTAAGCTTATTATAATGTATGTCATTTTCCACTTTCCAGTATAAAAAATATACTGCAAGTTAGATCTAACAAAGGAAAAAAAAATCAATCTAAACTCCTTCACAGAGAAAACTAATGAATATAAAAACACCCACCCCAAACTAAAACCCAATCAAGAAATAGATTCTGTAAAGCCTGTTAATCCTCCAGTTTAAAATAAATGATGTCCTAAGGGAAAAATACTTCCACCATCATAGCAATTTGATGAATTAAAGCAGAGCCACTCTCGTTAAGGGAAATTACATTATGTATAAGAAAAATGTAGTAATGATTTTAGAAAAGAGGAAAAGTAATTTCCTTGTTGGAGAGCAAGCACACTAAATGTTTTCTGTTCACTTAGCCTTTGTACCTGCTCACGTGAAAAGAGCGATAGGAACATCGTAAAACCAAGCTCCTCAACTCTTTTTTCAGTTTAACCTCAGAAGAACCAATGCAAGAGCTTCAAAATCCAAGGAGAGACTGGTCCCAAAGCATCTCCTCGTTTTCCTTTGCCTTGTTTCTTTTTCTCTTTACTACCCTTATGTTCCTCTTTCTTAGAGGCTACATCTCGGCTTTTTTTCTCCTTTCGGTTCTTAAGTTTTTCTGTACTGTTTCCACCTCTGTTTTGTTTCTTTGGATGCTCTTGTATTTGTCTAAATCTATTTCCTCACAAGCTTTCTTCCTCTTATGCCTGGGTGGCTCCTCCTCTCATTTTTCCCGGCCTTTCTCTGGGAGCCTTTTTCTCTTCTGATGTATCTGTTTATGATTAGCTTGACGGGCACTGGTACTGTTTTCTGAGGAGAGGTGCCTGTAAACTCCAGATTCTACACTGTATGAGCTACAGTTATACTCTTGCTGACTAAAGTTCAGGGGTACTGGTTTTCCTGAGAAACAGTCCCTGGTGAATTGACTGCAGCTCAGGGAGTCCAGTCTCAAGCCTGCTGTCATGAGCTGCTAGCCACTGAGGTAACCACTTTTCCACTGTTTGCGAAATACTGCATGGTCTTCAGTAGGTCTGGACGGTTTCACAAAGGAGTCTTTGATCAAACATTCTACACCTGGGTCTAGAATCAACCTCTTTTTTGCACCCACAGGTTTCCAAATAATCCTCTCTCATCTTTCTGAAACAAGTCTTTGGCTCTAAGCCTCTGGCTTTCTGCACTTTGATGTAATCTTCAAGTTCATCTTGAAAAGAGTCACATGTCTTTGAATGCTTCATTAGGTTGACAAGGGGTTCTCCTTAACAGGTTGAGAACTTGGTGGAGAAATTTGATCATATTCACCCATTGATTGCTTCAGTTTTTTAGCGTGAACTTTCCCCAAATAGTGAGATTGTGCAACAACTGAGGAGCTAAAAACCATGATGCAGAGATTTAAAAATCTATTTTTGTCCAATACTCCGATCCCATTCACCTCATAATGTGAAATCCATTGTGATTCAAATCATGGCACTACTCCTTATAAGCCTTTTACAGAAGGTATCTGTAAAAAGTTCAGTCTTTGCTCATTCAACGTGGTACCTTCTCTGAGGCAGGGGCCCTCTCCGCGCCAATGCCGCCCGCCATTGGACAGGCCGAGGTGGAGGAGGTGGAGAGGCAGGGACCCCCGCTGCCGCCGCAGAGCAAGCGGGTTGGGAGCTGGAGGCGGAGACCGGACTTCCGAGGGGAAGTGGCCGCCACCACCAGCGGCCAACTGGACGGCACCGCCGCCATATTGGCGAGGCGCGCTACTGCGCTTGCGCCAAATATTCTTTGAAGCCCACTGGCTTTCTTTTTTATTACTTTCTCCCTTGATTTTATTTTTGATTGTTCCTCACTTTTTCTGGACTCTTTGGTGAAAGAAGAAATTTGCATTAATAAACTCACCCAAGCCTGCATCTTTACTGTCTTTTTATTGGCAGAGCGTTCGCCTTGCTGAATTTCCACCTATTTTTTACCTCCTTCCAACTTGAGTCTTCTTTTCCCACAACCATCAAGTTAGATAAATGGCAGGGAACCACAGGAAGAAAGCAGAAAGATCGAGGAAGAGAAAGTTAAATACATTCTTAATTTCCATGAGCATTCACCTATCTTTCAGCAGCCCTGGTTTCAACAATAATAAGACCATTTATTGAACACTCACCACAGGCACTGTGTAAGGCACCATGACTCAGTCGTCACAGGTGCCCTGAGAAGTAGGGGGGGACCCCATTTTACAAAGAACCTGAAGCTGAGAGAGATGGGTACCAGGAGTGATGACCCACTTGACTGTCTTTAAGCCACACCCTGAGGATGACACTGCTTCCACTTCCCTTTCCACCTGTCCTTCCTCATTCAACTTGGGAAAATTGAATTTACCATGCCATCAAGTAATTTCTTGGTCGCATGCCATTGCTATTTTATGCCAAGGAAAAAAAAAATCACCAGAGATTTTACTGCTCATTTTAACCACCTTCATCTTGCTCTAATTTCTTTCACTAACAAATTGCTTTAAGGAAACAAAGTCCTGGGAATTCCCTGGCGGTCCAGTGGTTAGGGCTCCACGCTTCCACTGCAGGGGACACTGGTTCGATCCCTAGTCCGGGAACTAAGATCCTGCATGCTGAGTGGCCAATAAATAAATAAATAAATATAAATTTTTTAAAAAAAGAGTCAAAGTCCTAGGTAAACACAGTGCCCTTATCACTCTCTACAAGCCTATCCTCATTGCCCTGGCCAGAGAATTCACACAGGAACCTCCTTGTGCCCCTCTGCCTTATTTGAGTGTTATCCATCTACCTCTCTGGTCTCCCTACACATCTGTGCATCTCCACTGCATCTGGCACAGAACCTTCCCCAAACTGGCACTCATTTGTGAAAAGGAATGATGGATGACTAGACTGGTATCCCAGCTTTCTTACCCCTCTTCCCATCTCAACCCTTTGTGTCCCAGCTGTGAGCCATTGGCTCCCTGACACTGCTGCCCGCAGACGCCTTTTGGAGCCCCGTGACCATTGTCCCTCCTTCAGCCCCTCCTTGAAGGGTCCCCCACGTTGACATTAGACCTGGGAGTCTCTTCTCCTCCAGCCCGAATACCACACAGTCCCTTGGGCTCCTCTGTGGCCTCCTCGTCCTGTCTCCCGCTGCTCTTCTCCCTCTGGAACTCATCTCACCACCCCAAGGACAGCCTTTTTGTCAGGCCGACTGCCCTTCCTTGAGTCCTTCTCTAGTTGTTTATGCACATAGAGGTTGCATTTCCAACCAGCCCATAAGCACCTCAGGGGACAGGGTTTCTTTTGTGTTCACTGTGGTACCTAGCACAGCCATAGGCATATGATTCATTTGGCACATGTGACCAAGTATTTGTTTTTTAATAGTAATATTCTTTTCTTGGATCAAAAAAAGAGAAAAAGAAAAGAAATTACTGTTTACTATATTTAAGTTTTGAATTTTTTTCAAATTTGCTTAGTTGTTTGCTGTTCTTGAAGGGGTTTTTCGTTTGTTTGTTTTGTTTTGTTTTGTTTTGTTTTGCGGTACGCGGGCCTCTCGCCGCCGCGGCCCCTCCCGCCGCGGAGCACAGGCTCCGGACGCGCAGGCCCAGCGGCCATGGCCCACGGGCCCAGCCACTCTGTGGCAGGGGGGGGGCCC